AGCACTAACAGTCCTTCACATTTTAATCCAGTGCAAACAATTGAACAATCTAAGAAAATAACACTTTTCATAATCCTACCGACAACATATACCTTTACACCCTTCATTGTTCGTCGGTAGGGAACCACTGTTCACTCATAAATCACTGCTAGCTTTTTAAGAAGGTGTCCACTTTTACCATGTCATATACCCCAGGCATTCCGTAGCGCAACCTCTCAAGAGAGGTTGCTGCTGCAGTAGCTATATTGAAAAGCACTTGCCTCGCGGCCATTGGACACAAGGGCACTGATGAGGCACTTGTGCAAGTGCAAAATATTTTACACATGTTTTTATTATCAAAACCTTTTGTCACCAATTTTACTATACATATAATGCCTCTTTAATGGATTTATTATTTATGTTTTTAGCCACATTATCGCGAGGAATTTTAAGGCCCCTTTACAGCCACGCAACAAATCATTGTCCACATCCTTAGTCATTGAAATGTTGCTCTTTGGCCATCAATTGGCCCTTGCGCCATAAAGCGCCACACAACATGATCATCATCTTTTTGGTACGCATTAGCATAATTCAGTGCCGTGATAGATGTTAGTTCACTCTGCAGTAGGTTCTCAAAGAAAACCTTTCTCAATAAAAAAAATATGCTACCAGTTTTGTATAGTCGTGAACTTCCAGTGTGAAAGCCATGATGTAACCATTGGTAACGACTAGGTTATTTTGGCTCCAGGAAAAATCTCGGCTTCCTAATTTACTCCATTGTACTTTTATGCAACATACCTTAAGCTCCTAGGTATTTTCGTCGCCGAGCAGAATTTTCGAAAATCGTAGATACCATGATTAATACGCCTCTCAATTATAGTTGCTACTCATATAGCATACATAATATAGTTCAACCTTTACGTAGTGTGCAAAACTGAGATAATTTCCTCTTTTGATTTATGATATAGGCCACATGTTTTATTTTGGCAATAGAGGTTCATCAGCAACATTATGCAGGAAATTTTATTAAGCAATAATCCTGGAAATTGAGATTGTTTTGGTAGTGTTCATCAAGATACACTGGTCTTCTTATGACACTCATTTTTGACTGGAGTACAGTAAATGGCACACCTATGATTGGCCACATATTTTCAGTATACTAAGCACTGCCTCTTGTGCTAGCTACACAGAAGCGACTGCAACTGAATATGTCCTAAATATATGGCTACACTTATGACTCTTCATTGGGCGTTATAGGCATTTCAAAGCAGTTAGCAAAAAGAGAAATTTATCTTTGTTAGTAAGTCATTAAGCAATACTCAGTGAAAGGTGACTCAAGGAGAAGAAAAGAGGACTCACCACGTGCGCTAACTTTACACAAAATGGTTTACTTCAACTCAAGCACCAGCAAACATAGTGGTGATGCTCAAACGCTACAGCCACATGTCATGCGCAGAGAAGTATTCTTATTCTCATTCTGATTTTTACAGAAGATGGGCAGAGAAGCGTATATTTTACAGAAGACGGGCAGAAAAGCTTATATCATAACCATTTTAACAATATATGCAAACAACCACGAAAATAATGTCCATTCAAATATTAAATTTTTTTTCTGAGAGGGACAGGAACGGCGTGCTTACACAATCGCTACCCAACTTTGCGATTTTGGTGGCTTATGGTTTGATTGATGATCGATATGTGTGGTGTAACGTCCAAAAACCTCCATATGATTATACAAGACGCCGTAGTGGAGGGCTTCGGAAATTTCGACCACCTGTGGTTCTTTCACGTGCACCCAAATCTGAGCACACGGGCCTACAACAATTCCACCTCCATCGTAAATGCAGCCGCCGCAGCCAGGATTTGATCCCGCGATCTGCGGTTCGGCGACCGAGTACCTTAGCCACAAGACCATCGCTGCTGGGCGTGGCTTTTATAAATAGTCTAGTTCATCACGGTTTGTCAATAAAACCTTGGTGTTTTGAAAAATCGGGAACACCCACAAGCTCCACAATGCATCCATCTGCCCCAATTTTTTAGAACGCGAAGGTGGCGTTGACAGACCACGATGAACTAACTAGACTAAAACCAGAAGCCGCCAAAATCAGATAGTTCGGTAGCACTTGTGAAAGCACGTCATCCTTGCCCCTCTCAGAAAACAAATTACAATATTTGAATGAGCATTAATTTTGTGGTTGTCTTGCATATCTTGTTAAAATGGTTACGATAAGAAAATGAAAACTTTTCTGCCCGTCTCCTGTAAAAAGCATATTGACAACAAAAGTTATCCTTTTCGCATGACATCTGGCTGCAGAGTGTGAGCATCACCCTTGTGTTTACTGGTGCTTCGGTTTAGATAAAACACTTTGTTGAAAGTTAGCATACGCGCTGGTTCCCTCCTCCTTGTTGTTGTGTAACTTTGCGTGTAATATATTACTCTATTTGAAAAATTAGTAAAATGCGCAATTATGAGTGGAAGTTTGTCAGGCACTTTTGTTTAACTTGGAGAGACTAATATTGGTATTTTCATAGGATATTATCAAAAGTGTCGTTGCGAACACACAAAAAATTTTGATATGAGTGCTATGTATGCCCACGGTTTTCTTATGTAAGTCATTCCATGCATACTTTTTTGAACTTTTCTCTTTATGCTGCAGTTTGTATTCCTTGTAACTTATGCGGCGTTGTAAAGACTAACACATATGCCCTGTAAACGGTAGTAGCACGTTATTGTTAGATTGAGATATAATTAGGTGAGTTGCTGGGCTCTATATAACTCTTTCTAAATGCCATATGACCTATATTTTATTGTTGCGTTTTAAGTTGGCGCTCAAGTTTTCACTTCTTATGCTCTAGTTTCTTGTTATATGCATCGCCAATACAGCGTGATAATGACTCTCCGTAGGTAGCAATACAGTGTTCCATTCTTGACTAAGGAGTCGTACTTCTCAAAATGTGTTACCTCAAAACAGGTGGTCATGTCTCATCATGGTCAATGCAGTGTTTTTCTATGTGCAAGGTTTCAAGCTTTTTAATTTGTCCATTCCAACAAACATAAGTGTCTTGCCTTGCCCTTGTCACATATGATACCAAAGATTACAAACTATTCCAGCAAAATTGTTTTGATATTCACAATCTGAAAACAACCTACTGATCTTACCCACCTATACGATGTCTCTAGGATTTATTTTTGTTTTCTATAGGGTGCACATGCCTGAAATACAGGTGCCGTGAAGACATCTTAAAACGGAGCTTGGGCTCACTCCTTCAAAAAATGAGATCAAAGCACAGCACGTACAAAAGTAATGGCGAAATAATGTCAAGTGCTCCTTTTTTTACTCCACAAAATTAGGAGAAGACATGCATCTGATGCAGTATAACGAAGATAAATAAATGAAACAAAATGAAAATACCATTGCATTTTATTTCATTCAATGCACGTATGCAAGGGTATTCAGATGTCACAGATTTTCTCATGAACACATATTCCGCAAACACGCTGAATCAAGTGGCTACTGAGGCTCTGCAGACATTCTGCAGAACGGATGTACCTATGGCCCACAGAAAGGTGACGGGGGGTTACAGAAAATCTGTCTGTCAGCTACTGTATTCTGCCCCCCGGTAGCAGACTTTTTGCAGCAAATCTCCATCCCGCCCACATACTTTCTGCAGAGAAGGTGCATCTGAAAACAGACTTTCTACAGAAAAGCTGCATCCTAGAAACAGACTTTCTACAGACAACCTGCATCTTGGAAACAGACTTCCTGCAGACAACCTGTAGACTTGGGCTCTGCAGACAATCTGCAGAACGTATGTACACATTACCAGCAGGGTGGTGACAGGCGGTGGCAGACAATGTGTCACTTTTCTTCATGTTATATGCATACCGGGTGACTTGTGGCTTTAGAACTTCTGCTGAACGACTATAATTTTTTGTAGAGGCTAGTAAGAACTATCAAGAAATTTGAATGCCACTTACTATGATCTATAAACCATCGCCGCCTTTTCACTAAAGTTGCCAGAAGCGCGTCACTATGTTTGTAGAGAACAATTTTATCCAGTGTTTGAAGGTGAATAACTTTTCGGCACAGTACCGTTATTTTTAGGCAGCAGCTCTGAAGTGAGGAATGCCTCTGTGACGCGCAGAACTTGAAGTGCGATTTCGCCTAAGTGCCATTAAAACATTACCTACAGCTAACACAAATGAAGTTTGCCTTGCGGCACGGGATCAGTTTGCTTAGTTAATCTATCCGATGAAAATGCAAGCTCGTTCTAAGGTCGGCAAGGTATGTAGTTAGGCACAGCCACAGTAAATGTTGTTCATGGAGACCCGGGTCCACTACCTTCACTTTGCCGGCACTTGGTGCAATAAACTTTTTGACTGTGGACTGCTAACTTAGCTAATTGGAAACCCCTCAATAAGGTCGTTATGTTCATGCCACCCAGCACGCCCTAACTTTTAGTTAACACAGACAAAATGTTATTGCTGACGCTGTAGTGCTCACGTGCATTCACGTTGTAATAAAAGTCATATAAAATGCGCCCGCATAACTAACAAAAACAATTTATATTATGTGAAAGCCTAGCTGGAAGTAAGCATAAGTGTGCCATACTCGACATTACGCAGCATGTTGAGAAATTACATTTAGGATGAGTGCCAGTTTAGCCTGTGGGTATAGGTTCATTAAAAAGAAGCGCCAATTGTAAGAGTGTGTACAAATATGTCCGTTCTTCGTCTTTCTAAGTCTTCGTACATGTTGGCGCTTGTTTCATCAAGAAGTCAAGAAATGTCAAAGCTTATAGAAAACGTAGTATTCATGATTTTGACTACGTATATAGCACTTGTATTTTCTAGGGAAGTTTATAGTAGCGTAACTTAACTGGAGCTGTTCCTTATCAAAAGGGACTATGTCGTCGAAACAGTTTTCATGTTTGTACGAAAATATACTGTTTTTGCGTTGTCTCGTGTAGCTAGCTAGTTTCTTATGTTCAAGGTGAAAATTAAGTTATAGAAACAGCTGTTTGGTCTTGTGGCTTATGTTTATTGATTCAACCAATGTAACAGTCAGCAATTATCACATTAGAAGAGGTATGTTTTTAGGAAAAGCACTTTAAGACAAAAGTTTGTTCAGGTAGTTAAGAGAAGATCGAATTTCTCGCACAATTGTTTCTTCAGTTTTAGCCTTCAAAGTGCTTCTGAACATTTTTAAAGCATTCCGTATAATGGCGTTAATCAGATAGTCACCATGCTTTAGAGCATCAAGGGTAACTTCCAGTCCATCAAAATTTATTAATTGAAACCGAATGAGTTGAAGTTCACCAGCATCTGTCCTGAAAAACACAAGTGACGTAATCAAACACACTGCAGTAAATTGCAATAAAACATAAATTATAGAAATTTTATCCACAATGAAGTGATTAAAGATTAAGCTTGCACGAAAATAAACTGTCTGCCTCTTGTTTCTCAAGAACCTGCCTTCTCGTGGGCCGTGAGAAATCCAAGCAACAAAGGGGAAACTTTAATGGCTGAGAGAGCATATAGGATCGAGTCTCGTAAATAGGTACACTCATTCACCGAGTCTGAAAAGCGAACACAGCTCAAAAAGCAGTTCATCTCTGCCGTATCGAGCACTTTGCCTCGCCGTGGTGGTCTAGCGCCTTAGGTAGTTAACTACTGACCCAAAAGTCGCGGAGTCGAATCTCATCTGCAGTGGCTGCATTGTCGATGAAGGCGAAAATGCTGCGTGCCCATGTGCTCAGGTTTGGGTGCACGTTAAAGAACCCGAGGTGGTCAAAATTCCCAGAACCTATTGGCGTATCCACTCTAAGCAGCCGAATGGCACGATGCGATTAAAAGACACACGCCACTCCGATGTCGCTGCCTCAAAAAAAAAAGAAACCTGTGTTTATTCAACAGCCGCTTTTTATCACTTTACAACAGTCACCTCATAGGGCAGTACACTAGTGTTTGGCCTAAAGATAACAATAACACTACATCTTTTTTAGGAAGCATTGCAACACAAACAAACAAAGAAGCAAAGCAGTATGAATCGCTACCGCACAGAGCTGTATGCTGCAAGTTTCTAGTGTAGCCATATCACTGTGGTGGCCATATTTCCCGATCATAGCCTGCCACATAACGACAAGGTCTCCCGCTAACCAAGGAAACTACCGGCGTTGAAAGGAGCGCAAAATGCTATCCCGAGAACTTTAGTTCCCGGATTGCCCTGAAGCGCTCACATTCTCGGGAAAGACATATTATGGGTCATGCACGCCGGTTTACTCGCGGTATCTAATCAATGCTCTTCTATTTCTGTCTATGTCAGTCCCTTTATCTGTCCGCACCCGATTCGACCGAGGCCACTGGGCTGGACTGATCACCGTTGCTGGAATCAAGCTGTCTTTTATCCATACTAGACTTCCAGGGACAAGTTATGGTAACAGAGTTACAGCATGACGACGGTTGTAATTGACTATTTGCTTATTTCAAAATAAACTTTTCTTGTATCGGAGGCTTCTGATACTGCTCGCCTTTGATGATGCAAGTCTTTTCGGGAGTACGGGGACCGTAGAACGTAACCGCCTGTCCATCGGCAGCTGGGTTGGATTTGTACTTAAGGAACCAAGGGAATGCCTGTGCAATGGAAGTGTAAGGTAAGGTAGCCAAATAAGTGTCAGCAGATTTTTCTAACATTCGTTTTACTGTTGGCGCTGTACGTTCGGCTTCTGCATTTGAGTGCGGGTACCTGGGACGTGACGGAAGCCATAAATTGTTGCAAAGAGCGCGAATTCTGCAGACGCAAGTTGAGGACCATGGTCTGATGATATATGGGTTTTAAAGGCGCAAAGGCTATACTTGGCCAAAGAGCGCTATGAAAAGTGTGCATGATTTAGCATGGTAATGGTGCATAATTTGATGCAATTGGTACAGGATATAAAGTATCATAATGTTTTGTGGCTGTAAAGAGGCCTGAAAATCAGCGCCCTGAAGTGGGTAAAACATACAAATATTTAAAAGCATAGATGTGACGTGAAAAGTGTGTAGCGGAAGTAAACGACAGTGTTCGTGGTGATAAAACTACATTGAGGAAATGAGATTAGCATGCATGCCTCGTCAATGCATGCCCTTGAGCTCAAAGGCAGCGAGGCAGGTGATGTCTTCAATAGAACCACCGCAGGCTCGACCTCTGTACGAATTTCGTGCTACGGATCACCTCTGAATATGAAGGGAAAGCTATCTATATCTTTTAAAAACATGAACAGCGATACAAGCTTAAAAAGTTGATCTCTACCGATGAACATGACTGGATGAGATGAAAGTTGCTGTCGGTAGGGTAGTAAAAAGTGTTTTTTGGTCTTAGAGAGGCAAGCTCATTGCACTGAACAAGTACATTATAAACTTTAAGCGGTTCCCCACATCTCTCACAGATGGGTTGCTCACCGCCAGTCAACAGATATGCATGTGTGCTGCGTGTGTGTCCTATTTGTAATGTGGTGAGCGTTACTTTGTGTTGCGTGGTCTGGATACTGATGACCCATTTCCAACCGATATGTGGGGTTTAACGTCCCAAAACCACTACATGATTATGAGAGACGCCGTAGTGAAGGGCTCCGGAAATTTCGACCTCCTGGGGTTATTTAACGTGTACCCAAATCTGAGCACACGGGCCTACAACATTTCCACCTCCATCGGAATTGCAGCCGCCGCTGCCGGAATTCGAATCCACGACCTGCGGGTCAGCAGCCGAGTACCTTAGCCACTGGACCACCACGGTGGGGCATGGCCCATTTCCAAGTATCGGTTTTATTACATGTAATTTGTTCTCTGTTTGTCTATTCCATAGCCACTGCTGACACACCCTAATGTCCCGTCGAAGGAAGGGCTTCAATTCAAGCGCAGGGAGAGCTATGGTTGTATTGGTAGCAGCGTTGTTTAGGGCAGATGCAGCAAGTTGATCCGCCAAGACATTTCCGCCAAGACCCTAATCTCATGGTGACCTGGCACCAAGCACAATACGACATGCTGTTTGATTGCTCGATTGCGTATACTGTGCATAGGAGTGAGTAAAGAGATACTAAAACAGTATTTTTGTGTTTTTGCAGGGTTTAGAGCGCTTTTACCACGCTTAGAAAATCTGTGTATATCACTGCGCTTTGTAGTTTTATTTCTTTGATGTGTTTGACAGCCGCAAGTATCGCATGAGCTTCTGCAGTAAAAATGCTTTTGTTAGGATGAAGTGTACCGGCATCTGCATTAGATGGGTCAACCGCATTCTACGAGACAGAAGTGCTCGTTTTTGAGGCATCGGTGTAGAATGTGAAAAAACTGTATTTCCTTTGGAGTTCATTGAAGTATGTGTGGTTGTGTGCAACAGGTGCATTTTTGTGACTTCTGCAAGTGAAATGTGACAATCTATAGGCTGCCGCTGCGACGGCGGCACATATACAGCAGGAGCTATCAGACAGTGTTCCGGAAGTGGCACATCTGCTTCACCAGTGAGGCCTATCACACGAAGTGAGTAGGGCTTCCTCAACAAAGGACGACTGTGGAACAGGGCAGAATAAGACCGATCATTGATTGTGAAATGAGAGGGGCGCTGCTTGTCTGCTTTCACCTTAAGGAAATATACAAAGGACATGTATTTCTCTGCAGATGAAGCGACCACTCATTTCACGCAACGTAAACACTTTCTACGAGGCTGGTGCGAAAAGCACCCGTAGAAAGGCGGATGCCCAAATGGTGCACGGAGTCCAGCATTTTTAAAGCACGTTGAGTCGCAGACTGATAAACAATGGCCCCATAATCTAAGCAAGTTTGACTGAGGCTTCTATAGAAACTCATTAGACATTGCCTATCACTACCCCACGTAGAACATGACAACACTTTTAGAACGTTCATGGCTTTTACACATTTCGTTTTTAAATACTTGATGTGCAGTACGAAGGCCAACTTGTTGTCCAAAATTAAGCCTAAGAATATATGCTCCGCATCAACAGACAGACGTTTTCTGCCAAGTTCAATATCGGGTTCTGAGTGCATGCCTGTCTTTCGGGAGAACAAAAAACACGTGCTTTTTGTTGCTTCAGTAGGAATCTGTTTTCCTCTGCCCATTTGGAGACCTTGTTGTAGTCTAACTGAACCTGCGGCTCATACATTGCCAGGTGGCATGACTTAAAGCCAAGCCGGTCGTCGTCGACATACGCAGAATAGAACATATTGCGGGGGATGTACAGGTGCGAAGAATTCATTTTGATAATGAAGAGTGTACAACTAAGTACACCACCTTGCGGTGCTCCCGTTTCTTGAACATATGTTTTGTAGAGAACACTGCCCACACAGGCACGGATGGTCCGTTTGGACAAGTAACTCTCGATAATGTAAAGCATTCTACCGTGCACACCCAGGTGGGAGAAGTCTCTTAATATGCCAAAATGCAAACATGTCGTGTCGTAAGCCTTCTCGATATCGAGGTAAACAGAGAGAAAGTATTGTTTTTGGACGAAAGCTTCTCGGATCTCTGCCTCGATACGCACCAGATGGTCGGGGGTGGATCTACTCTCGCGAAACCCACACTGGAATCGGTTGAGCAGATTGAGTTTTTCAAGGAAATGTAGAAATCGTTGGTTTATCATCTTTTCAAAACGTTTAAAAAGGCATCTTGTAAGTACAATAGGCCTATAACTCGAAACTGAGGAAAAGTCTTTGCCCTCTTTTAAAATGGGAATAATTATAGCCCCATTCCAGGAACTAGGAACAGTGCCAGAGAATCAGATAGCATTGTACAGGTAGAGTATACGGTTTCTTGCGTTTCGATTGGAAGTTTTTCTAATTTTCGTACACCACACGATTAGAACCTGGGGCGGAATGACTGCAGGAGTTTAGTGATGTTTGAAGCTCAGCTAAGCCGAAAGCTTGGTTGCATGCTTCGTGTTTTGTATATTAGTGTGGCTGTTTCTGCTTTTTAGTTCGTGTTTAATATTTTTGGAAGGTTTCACTATATGTGTTGTGCTGGACACTTTTTCGAAGTGGGCGCCGAGAAAGAGAGAGAAAGAGATAAAAATGCAAAGAAAGACCAAGGAAGTTCGCTTGATCTTCCAAGCTGATACCTTTTGTGGTTACGAGAGGAAGTGAATGTACTGGTCTTCCTGCTGTTCTCCTAATGGTGTTCCAGACTTTAGCCTCTGGTGTATATGAATTGATGCCTGAAAGTTGTGCCGACTTTTCCTTCTGGCCTGTCGGCGCGTCCTGCTTCCTTCAGACTTTATGTATTTTATTATTTGTAAGATTCTTCGATGTCGGAAAGTCTCAAAGCAGCTTCCATGCTTTATTT